TGTTAGCAGGGAAAGACGCCAGACAAACAGAGACACAGGAGAATAGTGTCTCAGACCTGACTGCTACTGTTAATTAGACATCCTTAACAACACTCTGAGTAGCTACTACATGAAGCCATTCCTGAGGACTTTCCATCTGGAACATTAGTGCTCTTGATTCACAACCTATTGGACTGTGACCCCGATGCTTCACCTACCAGTTACTGTACATATTTGTGAATGGTACTCTGTTAAGTTAAATGACATGTTTTCCTTCCTTCTTATAATGTTTTTAGGGACCTGAAAATGTAAAATGTTCCAGAAATTTCACAAACAAAACGCAAAAGATGAAAGAAAGGAAACACATTTACAATATACAGTGTTGTAGATAAGAAACTTTAGCTGCTTCCATCTGACCTGCAGTTTACAAATGATATTCATTTTACTCAAATAGCACATTTCATGCAAAGGCGGTTTCCAAAGTGCTAAACAAGCCAGGATCAGATGAAAATGAAAATTAACGATAAAAAAAAAACAATGCCCTAATGTACAAAAAAAAGTAGTTTGGTTTTGAATACTTTAATCATGCAACCTGAATAACATCAACATTTTACTTGCAAACAATTTGTCCTTTCACATTCAATTCAGCTGAAATAGTGTATATTTGAAGAGCCAGTGAGGGTTGTACTGATCAGTTTCGACAAAAATTAAAAATATTTTTGGAAGTCAGTAGTTTACACTATAATGAATAATCAAATTCATATTTTGATCTTTGTACTTTCCTATTGTGACTGCAGCCTTCTTCCACTCAAATACCAAAGTTAAATGTTGCATTAAAGAATGATAGAGGTGATGGATGTTTAGTGAGGGCGTGCACATTACGAGTCATTCCTCAGTGGGATAACAACGGTCGAACAACATCCTCCTCTGAAATAACGGGAAACTCCTAAGTTTATCAACGTGATTGTGGTTTGTGAGTACAGTACCTGATGAAACTGCAGCCAGTCGGAGTGACTGTACGTAAAGGTCCCTCCCAGGTCAGAGGTCAGCTGGGAAGCTTCAACTATCTTGTTGAGGGCTTTCATTGAAGTCACAATTTCCATCTTATAGAAACAAAAACAAAAAGGCGAGGTTAGGCATGTAGGTAAGACTCATAGCTAGTGTCAAATCAAGAGAACAATGGAGAACAAGGAAGAAGTTTGAATTCCTGACCTGTAACCCTGGCTGTTTTTCAGGTCGTGGACAAGTGTCCTTATCCACCAGTAGCACGATACTGTGGACAGCATGGAGAGCTTGCTCCTGCAGCAGATCAGTAAGTCAGTCAGGTACAGACAAAGAACCATAGACTATCATGTGTTATAATTCAACATAATGTCAACTGGTTACTCTGATCATTTAGATATAAGATGATTTATTTGTCATAACAAAATACAATGTGTACTCTTATTGACCTTCCCTCTGAATTGAAAAAGAAGATGTCCAAGTACAATAGTCCAACAGTGTGTTACACTGGTGTAAAAGTATATCTGAAAAAATGGAGATTTTTTTCTTTACTGCAGTGCTAACAAACCCCATGTACGTATTTACTCAGTGTTCTACCAAGCAAAACCCAACATCTTCCTTATCTGTGAATCAAGGAACATGATAGTTTACGTCTGTCATCATGTGATGATGTGTGAGTGTTTTTGGGGTGAGTGCAGGTATTATTGAGTTGGACGAGTGCATGCAGGCTTTCTTTTTTTTACCTGGGCCATCAAAAGAGCTTTGTAAAAATGAAGTGAAGGAGGTTTCTTCCTGGCATTGATGACCAAAGTCATTCCTACCTCTCGAACTTCTTTCCTAGCAAGACATTGAATCATGTTAGTACACATTCAAACATTATGACTTCATAACAGTGGTCTTCATTTAATAAAAAAAAGGCTTTTAGGTTTAATAATTAAACTTCTCAAATCGGTATTTATCTTCTTATGTCTCTCTGACATCCCCATACACACACTTTTCTTCACACATTCTTTTAAACACTTTGACGCCTTCACACTCCCCTCTTAATGTCCCCTTCTTGGGTTACTGTTGTGAGAGCCTACCTCAGAAATGGCTGCTAATTCTAGCAAGGCGCTGCATACCAGACAGTTGGCAGCCAGCCTGGCCAGGGCCTGTTATGGTATGGCTCTTTAGTGGGGACAGAGGAAGGCCAAGCTATCTGGTAGAATGGTTTTATTCACTTCAAAGACTCCATTACAACCAGTGTAAACAAACAACACTTTAAAAAGAGTGCGATAGTAGTCGGCTGATCTCAAAGTAGTTTCTGAAGGAGGCAGAATTATTAAAAGTTGTGGTTCTGAATAAAACATGTTGTTGTATTAGTTGTAAAGCCATCCGGATGACCTATACATGATGACTTATTCAGGCTGGATGTGAGATCGTGTATCACTTTATTCAAAACCTGAACTTGAGAGATTTTAAATGGTGTCTGCTGCCCTCTTGTGGTCAGACCTATTCTTGCATACAGCATACATTTGAGCAGCTACTCTTTGTGGGTCTACAGTATATTCCAATTTGGTCTTCTTTGCTAGAAAAAGATATCCAGTTAATATGTGTCCAGTACCTTGGTATGGCGTGTAAGTAGAGCAGTAATTCACAGACATTCTGGGCTGTTGAAAGAGGGGATGTCCACTCCACGTTGCCACCATGGACCTCCAGCACTGCTCTTCCTGTTCGGTCCCTACTGCCTGAGAGTGTACAAGACAAATAAAAAAGTAAGTGACGTATAACTGAGACTGATAAAAGGGCCTTTTGTCATTGTTTAATGACAAATGCTGCGATCATACAGAGAACATTATTTGGGTGATAGAAATCAAGTACCTGGTAAACAAATAAGGCCGAGTCCAAACAGACCACCGATGCGTCTGAAACACGAGTCCTCAGTCTTTGGAGGCTGAGGAGCGTCAGAACTTGCAGACGGAAGTTGAACTTGTTGAGGAGATGGCCTTTCTATCTTTGAGAAATTGAGTTTTGATTCTGGTCCATCTGCAGTGAAGGGATTTTCACTCTTACTTGATTGGCAGTCTGCAATACAGTAAACACAAACATAGTTGTCTTCTCACAGGAAATGCATGGAAAACCAAATAAACCAAAACATAATTGGATCATTGCCAGAAAAAGTCAGTGTGTGTATTTTTTTTTCCCACAACATCATTTTGTTTAATTTATCAGACTTTGTCTCTAGAGGATGTTTCTTATAAACTATCAACTCCCTGTTTTTCCCAGAAACGTTGTCCTTTTATAGCAACAGTAGTTATTAAATTCTTTACCCGGAAATCTTAATCGTCATCAATCAACACGTTCACAACTGCACAGCTGCTGACAGCATTTCACATTGGACATGGTTTCTGTAACAAAACTCTAAAGTGGCCTTGCGACTAAGCCTGGCTTTGATTTCAGACATCCTAATTGGCCTCCCTTTAGGGGCAACAAAGACGTGCCTGTGTTCTCTCCTTGCTGCTTTAACAGTCCATGACAAACATGTCTCAAGTCAAGATCTCTACATGCCCCTCTGAGGGCATAAAGGTGCATGCCAGCGGGTGCAGGGGACACAGAGACCTCCTTCTTGCACGTTATGCTGTCTCTCTGCATTAGAGGAATGCTCTGCTCTTTCTTTTTACCCAAGTGGTTCAGGCCCCCCCCAGCATGCTATTTCCGTTCACTCCCTCTGTTATGGGAATAGTGTGAATGAAGCTGTACTGCTGAAGAACCAAGACAGCAGTGGGAGAAGATCATACTCAAGTCTGACCTTTGACCTTTGAACCCTTCTCTCTAAAGAGCCTTGATGATCTCAGTGAAGCACATTCCTCCAAGCACGCGAGGTCACGGTCGAGTTTCAATCAGTCAGTTTGACGTGAATGTTCAGTTGCCCTTCAAGCATTTAGCAACAGATCATAACTAATGGCTGTGTGTGCAGTAATAACAATGTACAACATGTGTGTGAGTGGGTGGGGAGAAAAAAGGAAACAGAAAGTAGTTTGGATTATTAGCCTTAACTTGTCCAGTCTGCTTACCTTTTTTAGAGGACTTCAGTCTTTCCAGCTTCAAAGTCACTTGATCCAACAGTTCACCTTTCTTACTCTGCATGATGCTTGTGATTGTGTCAGGGCAGATATCACTGTGGCTTCTGTTGTTGACTTTATAGAGAAGTGGACTCCCTTTGGAAGTCTCTGACACCGTGGACAGAGACCTAACCTTAACTTTTTGATTTCCCGATGGCGTCACAACCTCCACTTTCTGAAGAGCTTTATTATCACCGCCTGACCCTGGGTGCGCACTAGCATTATGTGCTGTCTGTTGGGAAATAAGTTTCATCTGAATTTTGTGACTATGGCTCAAACCAGGTGTTGATTTCAAGATCTTGGGGGATTCCTTCATGACGTCTTCCGATTCAGAACTGGTAGGAAGATCTTTGAGTTGAGATGCAAAGGCCTCTGGTGTTGGTTCACAGCAGTGTCTGTATTGGCAGCGCTTGTTACTCATCACAGGTTTATTACAGTGGTTACAAAAGTTTCCAAGTTTGTCTCTTTGAGCTTCAAATGCTCCTTTGGATCCTAACTCTGTCTCTTCACAAAGGCTGACCTCCTCCAAGGCAGCCAGGAGCTCCACACTCCCCCTCTCAAAAGCGACTGGGTTTCTCAGTGCTGCCACGTAAGATTCTCTGTACCTACACTTCAAGTCTTGGTCAGCTGACTCAGGCTCAAGCCTTCCCTGGCTGCACGGTGTACAAGGCTCCTCTGCATACTGAAGGGTGCCTTCACAGGGAACATTATTCCTAAGTGGTACAGGTGGTGGTGGTCTGACAGGTTTAAACAATACTGAATTGGGTGGATGTGGATGGCTCTGTTTATCCACAAACCTCTTCCCTTTGGCAATATCCACCAGATCCACATAATCACCTTCAATCTCTCGATAATTATGATTGTCCCAAGTATTAGGAGAAACCCAACCCACAGGTTTGATTAAAGGTCTGGAACAGGATTTTGGGGTTCGTCTTTCATGATCCATTTTGACGAGTTTGGAAGAGCAGTCCACCGTTTTGAACGAAGCTGTCATCCTGTCTTTGGCAGGACAAAACATGGCTTCCATCGGGAGGGTGGAGGAGTTGAAATGGGAAGGAACAGAGATCTGTTTTGGCTCAGGAGGAGTTTCTCGATACGTGGGCAAGATTTTTGGCTTGTCTAAAAACTCTGGGTTGGCGATTTCAGCCCAGGGCAACTTGATCACTCCTTGATCCGTGCAAAGTAAGCAACGGGAAAGAGGAGTTCCTTGGCGTCCTTCATTGATTTCCTGCAGCCATTCCTCAGTGAAGATGCAGGGGTAGGAAGTCTCAGGAACAGGGGTCTCCTCCACTTCTCGACAGCCCTCCTCCAGAAGACTTTTGAGGACAACGCGAGCAGCTTGTTCCCCGAAAGGCTCAACCTGCAGATAGAAGTCTCCAGGACGCAGCAGCAGAGGGTTCACAGGTGCTAACTGGATGACGGTTTTGTCATGGAGACACAGAGGCCAGCCCTCACAGCGAAAAACCACATCAGAGTATCCAGCCTAGAAAAAATAAAATAATAAGTTTTCAGTGTCATTTTGGTTTTATTTACTCTACCTAATACATTTGTATCATATTTTCATTTATGTGTAAGTTTTTGTCTTCTCCTATTTTTAAATATTAGTCATATTTAGTAGATTGTTAGAATACACTGTAAATATTTATTATTTTTATGACGTTTAATGCATAGAGCATACAAAGAGCTGAGTTATCTGTTACCAAGTAAACACAAGATAAGCTGCAGCTTGGAAATGTATCATTGTTTATAAATGTTATGTATGGTATGCAACTGGATCTGCACTGTAACACACCCAAATGTGTTTATACATGGATAGAGGCACTTACTCCAGGTATGCAAGAGCGAGTAAAAAAAGGGAGATGTTCATAATATTTATATGAAAAAAGTTTATGTTATTGTATTGTATCTCACTCTTTTTTGCATTCCTCTTCTTCTCATATGCGGATTAATCATGCTTTGATTTTTGGAACTACAGTTCCCATGGGGACTTTGCAATTGTAAACAGGAAGTGTAATGTCGGACGCTATGGGCTACAATTTCAACCTGCTTCACCCCCCTCCATTTCTTTTTGGCAGCATTTAAAGTATGCCGAATTATTTATTAGCTGTTCTTTGTGCATTGTACCCAAGGTTGTATATACAATTCATACTGAAATACTTTGATACTGAATACAACTAAAAACGCAATGCTTTTTCAGGGAAGTTTTGCACTTATTAAGAGCGTCTTTTTGCTGTGATTTCCTAAGCACATGTGGACGTGTATTCGCTATGGACAGCAGGGATATCCAATCTTTGGAAGGGTAAGTCAAAGTGAATGTAAAACACCCTTGGTGGGAGCTTTATTAAGCACACTTGTCGATCTATTGCATTCCAAAAAACCGAATCCTGTAGTTCCATGAAGTCTACTTTCATTTTTGTAGGCCTACACTTAAAGGTGGGGTAGGTATAACTTCAGTTATATTATAAGCATTGAGGAGTGTGATGTGAAATGTATTATATTGGGAGGTCTTTACATTTTTCTGTCATTTCCATGTATGTAAAAATAGAGGACAAAGACACTAGAAACACATCGTAATCACCCACTTTGATCTCGATAATAAAAGTCTAATTTAATTTACACATTTCAGACAATATCCACACAACCCTTTCTGTAAAAGCCTGGAATACACGGGTGAATACTCACACATGCTGCCTGTTGAACACTCTCCAGCAGGTGTTTTGAGGGAATGAGGAAGTCCAGCAGACACTGTAAAGCATCACCGTAGTAACGTTCCTCTATGGTGCGAAACAGCTGGCAGAGGACGATGGGAGCTGTGGCCTCGAAAGGAGGGAAGAGGGCCGAGAGGGCGCTCTGGATGGACGAGTCCAGAGATTCAGGGTTCTGGAGGTCAAGAAGAGGTGCTGGTTAGTGAGATAAGGTTTGTGTGTATGATTATTATTTAAACAGACTGTTAGACTCTGGCTGAACCCATGAAGAATACCAGCAACAACAAATCAAAAAATCAAAGGCTACCAATACAAATGATAGTTAAACTTAAAAACCACCTGTTCTTGGATGAGAAAGCAATCAATTTCATTTAATTATTTGTGTGACTTTTGCATTTAATGTCTACTTTGATTTAAAGTATTAATGAGTCAAAGCCACAAGAACTATATCAAACCCTAGAACTGACATTGCAGGAAAATAAAAACCCTCTTCACTTCAAATTAACGCAATAAAACATCTGATGTGCACATAATGAAGGCTTATTCAGAACATCAATGTCAGGGAATAAGTTAAGGAGTGGTGTGATGTGCACATTCTTTTCAAATGAGTAATGATTGTTTAATCAAGGCACATAAATTGTAAAACATTAATTGTAATAAATCGTATATTACAGACTATCTTGTGTCATTGAAATAGCTGCCCTCAAACTGAAATCCTGTCATTGCAGTTATTAAATAATGTGGCATATAATCTGAATTTATTGGCCTTTTCCATCCAATGACATGTATTGTGCGAGTTCTGGTCAAATGTGTGTGAAAATCTAGCAACCTGAGTGTGTAGTGTGGACTACACATTTTAAAGTAAATGCATTTTCTAACACTGATTTCTTTGAAGAAGCTTCACATGGTCAAGGGAGAACAAATACCCTGTAAATGCAAAACGACAGGACAGATATTTTTCTTGGCCTTTCACCCCTCGCTGTGCGCGTTTTGAATACATCAAAGAGTTGTTTTTTTTGGTTTAAAAGCGATAAACCTTTGTGCATGAGTGCACTTTTTGGGCTATGAACTAGGCCTACATGTATCAGAAAATGCATTATCATCTTTTACAAACTGAAACGTCCACCAAAAGATCAAATTCACCAAAAATGTAAACAAAATAATCTATTCACTTATCAAAGGGCTTTGAGGTGAATTAATACTGTCATCTTTAGGAGATCAAGAGGGGTATTTTGGTTGAGCCTAATCAAAAGAGTATCTGGAGAAGATTAAGTCTGTCCTGCATGAGTATGTGCAACTTGTTTCATGTCTAGCCAGGATATGCTTCATTTAAACTCCTATATTTGTAGCAGACCAGGGCCAGCGTCTGATCTTATTCAAAGTGACAAGAAGAAGCAAAGCAGAGAAAATAAATGCCCAGTCCTGTTAAAAATTACCATAAAAAAGCAAGTGCGTGAAACGACACAATTCTCTGTCATAGGAACACTTAGTGCTCATCTTTACTGCATGTAGAAATGTCCTTAGTAGATAAGCTGTCAACACCAGCTGTGCCACGGGTTACATCCAGCTAAACTCACAACCTATTTTCAGATGAAGAGAGGCCGTCTTCAAAGCATTTTTGGTCAACCACCTGATGGCATGACAGCCAGGCTTTTAATGCAATTGAATAAGCATTGCAAATACAGGGCTTTTGATTTGATTGTGTAATACTGGAGATACTGTAAAACAAACTCAGAGTGTTACCTGTAGGTTGATTGTAAATTGTCATGTGAATCAAACAATTACTTTACTGTATTATGCTGAGGCGTGGCTCTGAGAGGCTTTGTGTGATTACATTATTGCTTATGCAGGCATGCTTGGAGGTGAATACTAACCACAACAGCATGCTTCACAATCACAGTTGGGTTTAGCAGGTTTTAAGGCTTAACCACCTTTACTGTACAAGCTACTGTACCAGCAATAAAAAGTACAACTAAGTCTGATTGATGTCATTAATATCAAAGGCATTTAGTCAAAAGCCAGACTATTTAACACAATTGATGATAGGGGTTTACTTAAAAGGAAACTATCAACAAAGCTATTTATTTGATATCTTGTAAAATCCTATAAAAGTGTATTTTTCTATAACGCCTTAATGGCTTTCTGTTTTGAAAGATGCTATACATATAAACTTGCCTTCTTTGTTTTAAATTGAGCCTGGGGGGAAATCTGTTCAAAAGACGTTTTTAAAATACCTTTCACATACTTGTCTGATGTTGGATAGGTGCACACTGCACAGTACTTTTGAATATGCGTTCTAATACCACCTATGGCGCGTAGTAGTTGAGTACAAGGAATGACACCTTGTTATGAAATGAATAATATTCATGTTGAGTTTAAGGACTTGACGCTTCCTCTGAATCAAGACAGGTCTTAGCAGCTAACCACAGCAGGCGTGCTATTCATACAATCAGTTCACAGTACCCTGCTGTGTCAATCTCCCAGCTCCACAAAGGAGTCTGTTTTTAGCCCCCCTCCTCATTTAGCTTGATGGCCTAACCGAGACCAGAGACCAGCCCAGGATAAACAGAAGGACCTCAGCTTCAAAGAGCTCACACTGGTTAGCACTGGGACTACTGCGCTCACTGCTTAGCTACGGATGCTTTTGGGAGCACCTTGGACAGCCATGAAACATTGGGAACAAAGGTCATAAAGTAGTTACATGAGTCACCAAATAATTCCACAACTCGTACAACTTTAGTTTAGTGTTTACATTCTCTGTTAGCTACACCTTTCAAACATTGTTTACATTTGAAATACAGGCAGTTTTGTACACATTTCGATTCATCAACACAATTAATGTAAGATGTTGGATCTTATTCAACATCAATATTTGACCACTCTTGCAAAGTTTTCTTAGTTCTTCCAGACATTGCATGTGCTCAGTAGAAAAAAATGCTTCCTTTTTATGATTGTGCACATCTGTCAAAATAGATTAGTCAATGGAGAACAGAATACCTTCGAGGTTGGCTGTTGAACGGTAATGCAGCACAGCTGTCTTAGTCTGAATGCAGCCATTGAACTTTGGGTTGTACTGTATGATTTAAGGCTTACACTAAACCAGAGACATATCTTTTTCTTAAGTCCCAGTTAAGAGATGGGGCATTTTGTCTTTACTCTAGATTTCTGGAATTCCCAACATATTCCAATCTCTCTTCTTTAGCCTGACTTTAAATCAGTCATTGAAATTCAGTCTTTGAAAAAATATGACTTGTTATCATAACATTACCTCAAAATCATTTGAGATGTAGACCTATTTTTGTTAACACTAGCTAAAATGACAAAACTTGAACTTCTTCTCAAAACAAAGTCGGTTGAAAACACGACACGGGCTCCTCTCTGTGGGTGGTTGGCTGGTGATACTCATATAAGTGAGAACCACTTGAGATTATACAAAGCGTTGCTCTGCTGGACCAAGCTCAGAAAGGCTAGCCAGCCAAATGAACTGAGAGTAAGGAGAGTGGGCTGCCAGCGTTGGGCTCTCCTCTGCATCTCATTATATCGCACAAAGTGCCAGACAACATGCAAAACAGGTTCATGGTTATTTATTTGTCGAACGAGGTCTGAACTGATCTGTGAAAGGTTCAGCAGGAATTCCTCTAAGACAAAGCTAAGTTCTTGCCAAATTCACCACTGGATCTAAAATACATGTCCAGAACTACAGTAAATAAACAACCTCTCTGTAAAACATGGTGTTATGGACGTGAAACCCTGACTGGCAAACATGCAAATATTCAGCATCTGGAACAATAAATACACAAATGGGGAAACTAAGTAACTTGATCTTCTTTACTCCTTATGATTTAGATTTCTCTCATTTGGCGGGTTGTACGGATCATTATTTACTTACATGACCTTTCCTTATTCAAGATATGTGTTGGTTCCCTCTAGTAGTTGTATTGAGCGATTTGGGCAGTTAATGGAGATGAAGAGGTTGCCGAGCACATTGAAAATGTAATGTTAGGGATTAAAACCCATTGACATCAGGAGAGCAGAAAGCTTACACATCTTCCGGTGCAGACTGAAAACTCATCTCTTTCGACTCCACTTCGAGCGATAGAATTATTAACAAAGCACTTATATACTAATAAAGGACTGGCTTATCTAAAGCCAGTTGAGTAGCACTTGAAGTGTTTTAGCTCTATGAAACCTGATGTACTTATATGATTCTGTTTTCTTCAAGTTTGTATTTTGTTGGTCGAACACACTTATTGTAAATCGCTTTGGATAAGAGCGTCAGCTAAATGTAATGTAATGTAAAACATCAATAAATGAAAGGAATACACGTGAGGTTCTGAGTTGTATGCTCAGATTGTCTTTTAACTCCCATAGTATTGTATAAACTGGCATTTTATAATGTGCAGTACAATTGAAATGTCTCATCACACTTTTAGTCTTTTTGCTGTTTTGTCTGCATTCCTTTTGTGTGTTTAACCGTTCGTCCCATTACAGAAACTCCTGGTTAGCAGCAATTTGTTCAGTCTTGTGTGAGCACCCAGACACAATCACTGCCCTACATCCTACAATAACACAAGTTGTCACTGCATGTCAGTGTGCAGTGTCTAGCTGAAGTTTCCTCATGTTGACAGAGTTGCTACTTCTTTTCCAGGGTATTTTCACTCCCACAATCAGCCAGAGAGAAGCGTTCGATCAAGCTTAAATCCTGAACCTTTATCTTGGGCTGCAAATACGTTGGGACTTGATCGATGTCCAGCTTAGCCGCACCCTCTATACATTTAACGAAAGGGAATTCTCTCTTTGCCCCTCATTATCCAGTGCAGCCGGTGATTTAACCCTAGAAATAGCTTCAGCTCCCAACAAAGATCTGTGTTTGACCTGAATTGGCATGCTAGCATGGACAACAGGGATCTGTCTTTGTCTTGTCCACCCTCCAGGCTCCCTGGGAGTTTTCGCCTTATTAAGCAGATAATTACAGGTTTCCTCCATATTGCCTTGGGCCTTGGCCAAAGAAAGTCTGGACCCAGATTTGAGCCACAGTATAAACAAACTGTCAAGGTGTGTAATAATGCACAATGTGTATCTGGAGAGCCGCAAAGCTCAAAAGATTAGAGCAGGTAAGCTGACCAGAATGTGACTCTAAAGAAGATTAACTTCAACCAAATGGACAAAGTTCCTGATGCGACATTCTCTAAGGATTTGTTGATGTCTGTGTCTTGACTGGTCAACACATTTCTTTGAAATGGAATGTCACAGCACCTCCGGGCTGAACCCAAAACATAAGAAGAAGTGACAGTTATGTCAAGACCTGCCAGTAAATCCGAGTGAATTCTGCAAGTACAGACATGAAGATATGTCCAAGAGTCTAAGGTGACACACCACCAACTCAGCCATAACATCAGCCAACAGCCGGTGGCAAAGAGGAATGATGGGAAATGACACCTAACCTCAAGTAATATTGAGAAATATTACCATGGTAAGAAGAAAGTGAAAATGTGCAGTTTATACAGACTGGTTTGACACAAAACCTAAAATAAGAAAGCTGACAAGAGCAATCAAAACCAAGATCACAGTCTAAGTCATATCGTGAAACAAGTTATCAGTATCTGTCAGTTATTTCCTATCCTCCCTTTTTCCTCCTTAAACATTTGGTATCTCCTATTTGGCGGTGAGACAGTGCTTTCATTGTGTGCGATCCACTCTTGTTAAACTCAGCTGAGGGGCACTCTATTCAGCTAAGCCATCTTAAATCCTTTTAACCAGTAAAAAAAAAAAGGCACCTCCAAAACAAAACCCCTACATCGTTTTTATTAGAGTCACCGCTGCCAGCAGTAAAGATGGTATGTGCTTCCTATCGGACCTTCAATCTGGCATGGTTCCTATTATACTTTTTATTTTATTTGTGAGCACTTTAGCTATGTTTGTAAAGTGAAGAGGCCAAACTAATAGTGAGTTCGGTTTCCGATTCAGGCTTTCTTCTTATGCTGCATGAGATTCAAGATGAGATTTTATTTCACAATGACTCATTAATCCACCCTGGATCTTTTATCAATGAGCAATGACGACTGGCTTGTAATATTTTATCTTATAGGACAATCAACCTAGTGTATCTGGATCCGACATTAATCACGTCTGTCATCTCTTTTGTCATAAAGAGCTGACTCACAGCAGCCCTTCATGACAAACACACGTTGTGAAATGTAACAATTAAAAAACTGTTTTGTTTAATAATTTCTACTACTGTTTTGGATACACTCCTTCTCAGTCATGCCAAGTCAGCATATTTTGAAATCTTACCCTAGGCTCAGACTGCTGTGTAGTTGAAAAAGTTGCCAAATGCCTGATGAGGCGATAGGATAGGAAGAGCAGCTGGGTGCAACTATAAGGCTTCCTCCAAAGACTTATCATTCCCGATGTACATTTAAAAACTGAAACTAAACGACAATATTGTTGAGTCTTTTCTGGAATGTCTTCACGACTGACTCATAATGCACCGCTCCCATTTTACTGACAACACAACTCCTGGGTTTTAGCTCATATCCCAAAGGTTGCATTCTGGCAAACTACAAGATATGAAATATACAAATGGTTTGTTTTTAAAGAATGCAACACACCTAACTACCATTGTTCATCTCACAACGTTAAAATGTCCAAGACTTTGAAAAAGGACTGAAATACAATTAATCGAGGGCCTTGTGCCCTAACACGGGAGATTTGATTGTCAGCATGTGAATGTGTTTACAATAAGTGTACTAAGCACTGACATCTGCTGCTCTTCATTCCTGAGCTCCGCAAACAAGTGCATAACACCAACAAGAGCCAAACAGAGCACAGCGGTCTACATGGAATTCAAACTGAATGTCTTATCCTTCAGTAAATGTTGTCTCATCTCATCACAGTATGTCACCTCAGATTTTCCGATTAAAGTTGTTAGACTGGTTTTGAATGAAGCAACAAAACCTGAATCCTATGACTTGAGACTGGTGCATCATGATCACTGAACCGGCAGCTATAATACAGGTGTTATCTTCCTTAGAGAAAGCCCCGAGAGGATAAACAACAGCAGTTCAAACATAGTCTGGGTATAAAATGACAAAGCTACAGTGACTGTGTTTCTACAGACAAAGCAAGCTGACAGCCTATTCAATAGCAGAACATATTTTTCCCCAAACACTTGCCAATGGCTCTGTTATCAAAATACACCACACAGCATCTATTGAGTTTGACCCGCTTTTGTGCTACAGAGATAATAAACACACTGAAAATATGTTTCACAGCTCCATGACAACCCTCAGAAACTCGACTCCCTGATTGAAGAAAGTTGGAAATGGTTTGGCCCAAACAGCTCCACGAGGCAGATGTCTGCAATTACACATATTTTCTCTATAAATCACATCAGTTCATTGTTACGATTCTCCCCGTCTGGCTTTGTAGACATTTGGCGAAATCACAGAAAATGAAGCAGTGGGCAGGAAGTATCATTTGTTGGCCAAAGGGAGAACAGACTGTAGTATTGTTAAAATGTGATGACTTAATACAGGCAGGGAGAAGAAGCTACTGATACTGTCTCTACCCTGGATGTTAGAGAGAGAGAGAGAGAGAGAGAGAGAGAGAGAGAGAGAGAGAGAGAGAGAGAGAGAGAGAGAGAGAGAGAGAGAGAGAGAGAGAGAGAGAGAGAGAGAGAGCTGTGACCCTTAAATGTATACTGTCAGCAAGTCAAAACCTGGATGCTCTCACACAGCTCGTTTGCATCACATAATAGATTAAGGTATATTAAGGTAAACAAACTGTTACGAATGAGCATATCTGACTGATGATATGGAGCAGGCATGTGCAAGTGTATCTCAGTTATCAAGAGACTTAAAGCTGCTACAATATAAATATATATGTGTTATGTGCGGAAAGCTTTTTACCACAAACTCACATATAATTATTATCTGACTTTACAGTTTCTCTGAGCATTTTGGCATCTTTAGGCTCATTGTTTTTGGTTTTATGACCGCAACATGATAGTAAAAAAAAGTGTTTTCTCAGCTAGCATGTTGTTTTATAACAAGATAAACTTCAAGCCTGATATTTTTCCAAAGGAGTCAGTGAAGAGCTCAGCAGAGCTAAAAGCAGAGTAAATATTTGACAGTACATTTGTTAGGTTGAGATGCTAATGTCGCCCCAAATCCACTTCATGAATAAGCAAAAGACATACTGTAATCAAATGTTTTGCTAAGTGATTTGTAAATCTGCTATTGTAAGTTGTTCCCTGTTGTTAAATCAGAGAAAACTTTAAACTAAACATGTTTTGGCAAGACGAGAGCACAACCAAAACCCTGGAGCAAATCTCATGGAAGGATTTGCATTGACTTTGAATATACTTTGAATGTACAATGAATGAAACCCATGCTTCTGTGAGGCCTTAAGAAGAAGGTCTTTAACCTTGCTGGTGAATGAATGACTCTCTTGGCTGTCCTTATCACACAGTAACTCCTGCCAAGGCAAATACAATTCACACCAGTAGCCCGGGACTTTGTATTTGTCATTGCTGAGTGTTTATCTAAGATTGAAACTCCTGGTCATGCACGTTTTTGTAATCTAATAATTTTGACTCAGCTGGCTCATGACTGGAAGTTGGAGGGTGGTCACGGAAGACGACATTGGTCATGCAATAAGTAAAACAAACAGTTGGGGCTGTTAAAGCTGCTCAAACAAGTGCTGCGGTGCATGTGAAGGAAGGACAAAGTACAGTGGTGGCCACAATGAGAAGCCAAGTCTGCACTGCTTTAAACATCCTTCCTTCCTGTTCTCCTTAAAGCTATCAATTATTTGTCTCCCTTGGACAGATGTTAGGGGTCTGCCTGGTTTCCATAGAAAGAAGAATGTTATAAATAGAAAGCTAAAGACAAGTAAGGAGAAGCTTATTATGCCTCATTATGGTCTTTATCATAACATTATAATTGATCTGCTCATTTATTTGACTATTTCGCAGCAGCAACAACCAGTTATTAAAACGTCAAAGATCCTACGTCTCGCCACAAACCCATCATCAAACATGTTCCCATCTTAGGGCTCACTCTTTGTCATTTATTAGTTTCTTGTTGTGCCTGGGATTAGAGCGGCCCTGCGGTTTGAACTTTTTAAAGTGCTGAACACTGGGCTGGAGAATTCCATTATGTGCCAATGCAAAGCAGTCAAATAATGTATTCCCCAAACACTCTCCACTCACTCAAGTATGTGTGCCATCCACATCTATTAGGTCCAAATCAAAGGATGCAAAACAAAAGACAATGTGCCTCTCTCTGTCACTCAGTCTTTGTGCACATGCGTTAAAAGCTAGAGACGCCGTGGGCTGTTGATGTGAAACAGTCCCACAAACTGTGCTAAGGATAACACAAATATGTAAAGAGTGCAGTTACATTAGCTTTGTACTGCCTTTGTATGTCACAAAGATTAGGTTTCATTGAGAGAGAAAATGTGGATTAATAATGTGCATGGTAACACACAAACTGAACAAAAGACAGCTGAAAGCATACAAAATGCATTAGTTACAATATGAGTATTCTTAGGGTTCATTCACACATGACCTGCAAAGCCACAGAGAGAAGTCACTTGTCCAAATCTCTGTTACTAAGTCAGTTGAGAACTCTTAACTCTTAAAGCAACACAAGTCAAGCTCCAGCAGTAAAACCAAAAACGTTACCATCTTTGCAGGTGATTTCTTCTCTATACGGCAGAAAGTCTATTTAGTTCTTGTTCCTGATAATCCTCTCCAGAGAGTCTCCCTTGGCTCCGTGCTGAGAGACTTGCCATGTTTAGAGCATCAACAACAGAAGTCTGCTGAAGTATATCCACATGACAGTGAGTTGTCTTGATCGAAAAGTAACCAAAGTTATTCCCAATTCTTTGTACACTTTTCAAAAGTCTTGAGTTTGTAGCACAGAGAGCTACAACTTGCCAGGCTGCCTGTTGATCCTCTTGCTTCACTTCTCTGGCGACTCTGAGTGTTTAGGGAAGAGAGAGAGGGAAGGAGGGAGCAAGAGAGTGCCTGAGAGGGGGAGGAGAAAAGCTTTCTCTTTCAAGGGAAATCCCCCTCGAGGCTTTTCAGAGTTTCTCCCCTCTCTCTGAAACACACGCAGGCTTTATCACATACCCTAACACACTCACAGACACAATATGCCACAAATGGACACACAAAAGCATGCCAGTCCGTACATACACTCCCACTCAATGTGTAGGTTACTGTATGCAAATGTAGGAATTGAAACATTTCCAAATCCTACTTTGTCATGCATGTAAACACACCGATGTGCTCCTCTGGCCCAGCATCAGAGAGCTGCAGAAATCCAGCCCCTTGTCTGTGGCCCCTTTTTGTTCTTTCTATTTCAATCACTGGAAGCTTTTTAAAGCCTAAGTCAGTCTTTCTCCTCTCCCCTGTCACTCCTAGACTTCCACTGTCTGCTCCGGGCTTTCTCATTTCCTTTCTCCAGCAATTGTCTTCCGGCAGACTGCCCAGTCTTTGACCGTTATCAAAGGGAATGAGAGCAGAGGGGGCTTCCCTGCCGTTGTCCGAGCCAAGCAGCAGGCATTGAATAGTGCTGCTTTACATCCGCAGTAGGCCAGAGGAATTTAGGGTTACACCCTCTGGACTACCTTTTTACATCTGGATTTGGAAGATGTATAGAGTATGAAACACAAAACCCTCTGCTGTAAGAAGCGAGGTTCATCCCTGAGACATTCTTTGAGAAAAAAGATTGACAGGAGATGGTTTATTTCTGTCTGAGAATTAGTGTTATTGAGGAGGATTAGAAAACTAGCTCACACATTGCCTCAACCCATGTCTGTTTGTTGGTTCAAATTCCAGAAATTACTAGAGTCCATACATATTTTCATTACAAGGATAACAGGCAGAATATATTTACTTTAATTAAACTTTCCTCTACATTATGCAGGTGAAGGGGCAGCTAGAAATATGAAACGTAAGCCTCTGACTTTCTCTGTAATTCTCTCGGTATCTGTGGTTTCCCGCTCTGCAGAAACAGCAGTCTTTTAAGCATTCCTCACATGTTTTTGTTTCACAGAAAGAGAGCCATGATGATTTGTCTCTCACCCTAAATTACAGAAATATGTAGGTGACATTCTTGAAATATTGAATACTGTTCCACTCCCCATTTCTCCCCTTTTTTTCTCCATCTTTCAAAACTTGTGTATTGAACATCCCATTATAATATCTCCCCAACATTCAGCATTGTATTATGACGGGGAAACTGAACAGTCAGGAGACAGAGTGAATATGAACGATGTTAATTAACCAAAAGTGCCTGCTCATACTAATCCAACAATCATTTGTCTGCTTAACAGTAATAATACTAAGGCCAATATTAATATAAAAACGTGTTTACTGACTTTCACCAAGTGAAATAGACAAATTCAATATATTAAGAAAGTATTACTTTTAGCTCTGTATTTGGTCTTCATCACTCACTCTCATCAAACATATAGTATACAGCCCTTTTGTTACTAAATGCTTAACTGTTCTTGTACTAGTTGCTAACTTTGTCTGTTTGCTGTCCCGTGCTTGGCAGGTAGTATACAGTATATACAGTATACAGTTAGTTTATCCGTTTTCTTTTTGTTTTTTTTTAAACTGCTGACTTATGCACGAGGGTGTTGAACAATGCATGACAAGCGACACCTGTTGCAGTATTTGATAAATAAAAAAATAATGATTTTAATAATAATAATAGCTTGGATTTATATATCACCTTTCATGAGACCCAAGGTCGCTTTACAAGGAAGAACAGGGCAAAACAAACAAAACAAAACAAAAGGCAGTCAGACAACCAGTCAGACAGACAAAAACAACAAATAACAGACAAAAACAACACATTTTAGAAGCTTTAATAGTTTCAATAAAGTCTATCAACCAATATGTGAGGGATATTTAAGACATAGCTCACATAAACATGTAATGCCTACTTTGAATTTGTATGACCAAGGTATGTAGAGACTGTACAGAGGGTCATCAACAAAAACAAATACACATCCTATCTTCATCCTGCAAAAAAGAGCCATACGAGTTATACATAAAACTACGTACAGAGAACCAACAAATCAATTGTTCATCAAACTAAAAACACTAAAACTACAAGACCTGGTTGACTATAAAACTATTCAAATTATGTTCAAAGCCGCAAATCAACAATTACCTCATAATATCCAGGGACTTTTCACACGGAGAGAAAGCATGCACATGTTGAGAGGAAACTGCATTTTCAAAAAACCACCCGTACGAACAAATGCCAAACTTCATTGCATCTCATCAAAAGGTGTTAGTCTGTGGAATACCTGTAATGATGCACTGGAATATTGTACAAGTCTATCTAAACTGAAAGTATTATTTAGGAGCCAAATCATTAATGGTTATGAACAGGACCTGTAAAATCCCATGTGTTGTTATTTCTTCTAATTGTAAAAGTAATTTCTTTCTGATTGTTTTGTCAAAAAGCAAAAAGCAAACAAATTAACAAGACAAACATGTCGCTGATGACAAGAAAAATATATGCTAGAGGGGGTAGGACCAGAAAAGTTTTTTTAAGCTTCTTCTTGCCCCTGTTGACAGATGACAGACTATTTGAGAATTATTATTGTTTTTTTTGTACTTTGTTATATTTATTAATTTGAGTGAGAAAAAAAGGAAAAAAGAGAATATATATATATATTGTTGTATGTTTTTGTTTCTGACATGTTCAATAAATTGACTAAAAAAATGTTTTTAACTAGAGATCAAACAATGATGTAATTGTTTCAAAGTTACTTATCTTTATCCGTTTATTTCTATTTACCCCCCAAAATGTTCAGCAATACTTTGTATTTGTCATAGGCTTAGATCTTCTGGGATCTTTCTGTGATTCCAGCTAATTCTCAGGAAAGGGCAATGTTCTTTTGACTCATTGTCTAGTCTCAGACTAGTTCAGATTGTTGCCCTAGCAAAAAACATGACAGTGAAGTTGAGGGCTGGGAGGATGAAAGCGGGTCACAGCGAGCTGACACTCAATTTTGATCCCTCCTTCATGAAAACCAGATGGGCTGTCCATCTAAGCCAACAGAGAGATGTTGGAGGGGGCTGCTCTGTGAGTCAGTGAATGGTGAGATTTGATAGGCGTTTTAAAAATTGCAGACATAAACAAACATGGATACACACCGAGAGAACCAGACAAAACTAAACTAAAAATGTACACAGAGATAGAGAGCGAGAGTTCCGGAGATACCGGAGGAAGTTTTGAGCTCACACCCACATGGGTTCATTAAGTACACGTATAAACATGCACATGTACTGCAATTTCTTAAGTACAGACATAAACCTTGCACGCAAACACAGCAGGACGAGGCCCTGAACGCTCCCTCCCTCCCCCTGTGTTTAATTCCATTCGAGTGGGAGCCCCATAAGGCGAGTAAGCAGGACCCCTTCAGTGATTTACTTCAAACCAACACTCGCCCCCATGACCTCCCGTGTACACTTAGACTCAGCAGCCCTTGGCCTTGACGGTTTATAACGCATGACTCACAGTGAGCGTACACACTATTATCGTCGTTAAAGAATGGGAAAACACAAACTCTCCTCTTGGCAGTTTACCCCCTGCATCACTTCTTGGATCAATTAACTGACTCCATTTACACTCCAAGTCTATAATCATGTTCTTTTATGCGACACAGGTTGTCTTGATTTAAAACAAGGGGAGAAGAGCAGTCTCAGCATTCATAATTCATATGTGACACTATTAGAAAGAGCCCTGTCTAAGTGACGAATGTCTGAATAGCTTTTGGCTGTAATCACTCATGTCTTGATGGGACAAGATGAAAGGAGGAAAAGGGAAGACAAAGAGGTTATCTGTCTCTCCCTTGTTTCACGTTCCCAGGAAGAGCGACCTTATCAGAGTCTGGAGATCTGCTGCTGTGACTGTGACATCATTTCCTGCCCGACCCCGGCCTGTCAAGATTAGGGGGCCCGGGTCTTGTGATTTAGACATTTGGTTGTTCTTTCAACAAACAGAAGGGATTCAAGTCCCTGCTTCTTTTCCCAGTCGATATCTGTCTACACCACAGATGGGTTTTTGTGTGTGGTATTTCTGAGGTTCTTTTTAAGCGAGGATTTAAGGCATGTTTTGAGTAGCATGTCACGCCTGCTGTGCTGCTCAAGAGAAAATGAGAGTCTTGTAGATAAAAGATGTGCATTCAAGGACATTCCAGCGGGGTCAGTCGGGCTCTGTACATGCATGTGTACGCACTCATCTGTTCATTCAGGTGCCGACGAGTGATGCATCGTGACATTAAGTGTTCCCAAATGTTTGTTTCCCTTGTAATTGTAAATCCATCGAGTTCTATTGCTCCATTTTTAAGGCTAATACGAGACAGGACAGCTCTGCTTGAAACCCTTTAAATGGCTTTCCATCTGCCCCACTTTAACAGCTTTGTTCCCACTGAGGCTTTTATAATGAGACATTTTAATACAACGATAATGTCTCTCTGGACTACAAATCCTTTTCTCAGTGTAGTCACATTGTCTTTTCTCCTTATAAAATATGCAAAAACACAACCAACTCCCAAACACACACGTACATCTTAATAGATAACATATCAAATAGGATAACATTTCTAAAAATAACTTTCAATGTACTTAATTTTATCAAAAAGAGCAAACTGTCCGACCAACAGGATTAAATATATATCATTGTAATCCTCTGTTGATGCCTGTTTTGCAGCAGCTTACATCCAGATGATACTGTGCTCATGTCATTATATCACACAATCCTGTTTATAGCAAATCCTCAATATGAACTTCAATCCCTTTTGGAAAAAACAATTTGCTTTGCCAAGGAATCCCACTCAGCAGCAATCTAGGATATAGCCTGAATCTAACTGTGTGAGGGCTGAGTCAAACAAATGCTGGGAATAAAGGACCATGCATGCTCTGCAGGAGAGGAAT